TGAATTGACTCACTCTCAATTTCAAGAAATGAATGTGAGTCCCTTAGAGGATCCTGCTCCATCTCTCTGGTTCCTCTCCTTGATTCTGGGTTTGTATATATTTCAGTCAAAACTGTTGAACACTAGGCATTTGCTAGAGTTTTGGGGGAATTTTTTCCCTTCTTCATCCTTTCTTCCTTCCTTTTCTTTCATCCTTCCTTCCTTTTCTGATGCCTTCCTTCCTTCCTTCCTTCCTTCCTTCCTTCCTTCCTTCCTTCCTTCCTTCCTTCCTTCCTTCCTTCCTTCCTTCCTTCCTCACAGAGATGAGATATGATATAACAATATGACCTCTGTGTTTACTAAAGTCACCTAACTACTATTAGGGGCACCAGAAGATGCATAAAGACAACAGGAAGAAGAAAGAATAACAAAACCTATAGATAGCTATACCCTGGTGACATTGTGTCCCAGTGCATCATATTGAAACCACCCCCATTTACTATTCTTTCACCTGAGACAAAAGAAAAAAAACATTAATCTATGCTAGAGTATTGAAGTTTCTATGCCCGAAACATAGGTCTCCTAACAGCTCAATTTTATTGAATGGTTACTATGCACCCAGCTGGGCACTTTGTATGGGTTAGGCCATTTAATAATTACAAAAACCCTAGGAACTATTATTATTTCTGTTTTATAAATGAGGAAGCTGAGGCATAAAGAAGCTAATTTGCTCATTTGAATTTAGACAGTAGTTAAGTGGCAGAATGGGAATTCAAACTCTGTAATTTCATTCAATGATCCATTCTCTTATCCGTCAGGCAATACTGCCTCCTTTTTTTGCTAATAGAACATATGCCAAGGCAGCTTTGAGAAACTCCAAATAATTTATATACATACCACATAAGAGTCATCAACATTATTCAACATCCCAACCATTCCCATGCCCCCACCCTGTATTACTTTTCTGTTGCCTTGTAGCAAATTAACACAAACTAAGCAACTTAAAACAATATCCATTTATTATCTCCAGTAAATCAGGCATCCCACTTGAGACCTCTACTCATGAGCTCATAAGGTTAAAACCAAAGTGTCATCTGGACTTGATATTGTTTTTCTGGAGCTTGAGATTCTCTTCCAAACTCATGTGATTGTTGTCAGAATTCAGTTCTTTGCACTAGTAGGACTGAGGCCCTCAACTTTTAGAAGCCACCTACTATTTTCTGCCATATGACCCTCTTCACAACATGTCAATGTTCTTCTTTAATTCCAGTAAAAGCAAGGAGTGATAAGCCCATCACTTTTATAGTACAATATATTCAAAGGAGAAACAATTCCATCATATTCACAGGTCTTGCTCACACTTCAGTGGAAAGTTTCTCCAGGCACTTACACACTGGGGTGAAAATCTTGGGGCATCTTAAATTTTAGGCTTCTATGACCCCTCCCCACACCCATAACGGGAATGGGTTTGTACAGGAGAAGCCATAGGAGGTAGAAGGTGCCTTACCCTTGTCAACAACCTTCTAGGAAAATGGAACACAAACCTGCTATTCCTTACTGCAATGATGTGGGAAACCATGGCCACCCAAATAGAGCATTATGAGATTAAAATACCTGGAAGATTATTGAGATTTTCTAAAATGAAAGACAACTTGAAGGTCACTCCTTCCTAAAAATATTACCTCCATGGATGTGATTAAATCAGGCAGAAACCACCTTGAAAAATGGTTATTACAGTTAGTTGTAGTTCATTAAGACTGTTTTGTGAGTAAGTCTCTTAGTGTTTCTGAGTATCCATACTTGTGGGGTCAATCCCTCTAACTCTGGCCTACTGTAGTAACAAATCTTTCTGTAAAAATCTGTTTAGATAACAAGTACTTAGAGTCGACCTCAAGTTATTAGCCCGAATTCAAAGAGGATTCCTACTCTAAATCTGTTTAAATGGGTACTAGTTACAATAGATTTATTTTTCATTAAAAAAGCATTTCCATGAAAGACTAAACTTAGATTACTTTTTTTTTAGCTAGACTGCTAAGGAGAATGAGAGGTAAATGAACACATTTTGTTATTGAGCAATTGTATCTTTTGTTTATATTAAGTAGGTGAAGCAATATTATCATTGCAAAGAAAATTGCATTTTTCTATTGCTAACTTTCAAACACTGAAACACAGACTAATGTGAGTTTCTAAGCTATGATATTTAAATATATATTTCCAAAGAAAATTGGTTATTTAGGGTTTTTTCAATCGCTAACTATAGTCATCTTTTTTCTCTGTTTTGATTTCATTTCATACTGTTATACATACAAAGAGTCCATTAAGGGTTGTGTGAGGCTGTTTTTATAAAGAAGCCTTAAAATTATTATTTGTCATTTCAATACATTTAATTAATTAAATTGTGATATCAGTCAGTGATCTTATATGCATATTATGCTGACATTCTTTCTGGATGCTAATTACATTGTCATAGATTTAAAGGTTCTGGGCCCACCTTCCTCATTCTGCTTCCTCCTTTCCCATTCTGTGCTGCTAAGTCTCTGGCTTCCTCACCCATTCCAGCTGATTGCAGTAACTTGCGCTGAGGACCTTGTTGTTTGTAGCTCCTGTGAGCCTCCCTGGCTCCTCATTGGAAGCAATCATCAGTATACTAATGATTCTTGTTTCAGGAGTCATTGGGAGAAGAGAGATCATGAGGATAGTAATAATCTTTTTTTATTTTTCTGCCTTACCCACCTTTATCAACACACTTGTAGGCAAGACTCTAAAGACCAAGAGTTCTTGTGTAGATGTCCAGAATTCTCTTCATTTGTTACTCACCTGCTTTTGCCCTAACCCATCCCTAACATTATTCTTACTTTTACAATTCAAACTTTTAAACCTGTTTCTGAAGTTTTTTGACTCAGTGATTGATTTTTATCAGCTCTCTTTCAAGACTGACTTGCTTCTCTCCTAAGAATTATAACAAGCTGGCTGCCTCAGGTAGAAACCTATGCTCTCATTTGGTTTTGTGGAACAAACCCATTACAAAAGGCAATGATAAGCACATTCTTAAAACAAGAGATAATAAAGACAGGAGACAAGAGAGATGATTTGGGAGGTAACTGGTTGGTACAATTCAAATGTCTACCCACCCAGTTCCTATGGAACACAATACAATTTCTCGAAGACTGAAGTCATTCTCTGGGGTTGCCTAATAAAAAGAGCTCTAATACTGAAAAGGAGAAAGTGCATTTTCTAGTCCCAGTGTAACAGGGTGCAAAGCATGGGTCCCTGAGGGTGAGAGAGCCTCACTGTCACCCCCAAATCCTGCAGGGGGGCATGAAGGGGGGAGGAGAGGTGCCCACAAAGCAGAAAACACAGCATTTAAGACACATTGCATAACAAAGGCAGGTTAACAGCCCATGCTTTCCTGCAGCAGAATTGTGTAGTGACCATGGGAACATGAAGTGACTCTTGACATAGCGAGGGGGAAAGCTCTTACAGGCCTGTGTGAGCTCCAAGGGAGAGGGGTAGATGCCCCACCCCCCCAGATGCTTGTGTGTCACTAGGAACTCTTGCCCTGACTCAACATGGCAGCCAAAAGAGGGTTAAAGACAATGGCAAGCAGACCAAAATGGCAGACATTAACACACTCTAGGAAGAGCCCAATGTTAGATCATGCAGGAAGTTCAGAGCCGAAATTTAAAATTGGAGCCGGAAGTCTGATGGTCAGTCAGCCATGAGGTCTGGAGAGAGGTCTGCAGAGAGGGCTGCCATGAGGCTGGGGGGTCAGTCTGGAAGTCTGCCTGCAGAAGATGGCAGCAGCTGGCGGTGAGGGGACCTGCCTGCCCGTCACACAGGGACATGGGAGATGCTTGTGACTGAGAATGCTGAGCATCAGATTTTTGCTTTTCTGAAAGGTGTACCTCTGAGTGGCATATTCTGAAACTGGCCTAGTTGGCAAAGGGAGGCAGGACTACTTGTTTTGGGGTGTTTTTAAAGAAAGCAGGACTTAATGGCAGAAATCTGCCATTATTCTAAAATCTGTATAACCTTTAAAAAAACAACCCCTTTCCTTTTTCACCAAATTTTAGCTTAGAGAGTCACGCTTCTTGGCGGCAGGCAATCAAACCCCCATGGCTGTCCCAGAACCCCAATGGCTGTTTCTGTAACATTAGTAATAGCTATCCTAGTGGCTAAAACAATTTTTTTAATGATAGACTATAGGAGGGTTTGATTCTTGTAGTCATAGTCTAAGTATTTGCTGAATTTGGGGCTGTAGCTATATTCCTTCACTAACTCAGGTCCAGGCTGACCTCAGTCATTGCATAACTGAGATTGGATTCCTTGGGAAAAAAAGCTTTGAAATGGAGAGTTGCATGCAGAAAATTTATTGGGGTCTGCTCTCAGGAGCTTGATCTGCAAGACTGGGCAGAGGAAGAAGCTGACCCATGTGAAGTAATAAGGCATTAGCCAATTCATGGCAAGATCTGGAGCTGGGATGACTCTCAGAGGTAGCCTGAATTGAAACGAAGCACAAGTACTTTTTTATCTCTACTTAATCCAGTCATTTACTTCTTTTGGTAGGGTACCACAGAATCCACTACAGCACTGTTATAGAAGGAAATAGTGCACAGATAACTGGAACAGCAACATTTCACCTGTAATCAAGCAATAACTCAACATTCTAAAAATCATGTATCATTAACTATTATTAAGAACTTTAGGACTTGTGGCTAGTGTCTTGGAAAAAGACAGAATTCACCTCAGATGGTTCAAATAATGAGATTTCTATTAAAGTGGCAGTTCAGAGTTATGGACAAGTTAAGGAAAATATGGGAATGACATGGTACCCAGAGACTGGCAGGTGAATGTGAGAGGTGCAATGCACAAGAGCTAGTCTCCTGAGACATAGAACAGAATGAGAAAAGAATATATAAAAAGAACTGGCAAACACAGCCCTAGCCACTGTGGCTCAGTTGATTGGAGTGTTGTCCCATAATTGAAAGGTTGTATATTCAATTCCCAGTCAGGGCGCATACCTAGGTTATGGGTTAGTTCCCTGGTCCAGGCACCTATGCGAGGCAACCGATCAGTGCTTCTCTCTTGCATTGATGTTTCTTTCTCTTTCTTCCTCTCTCCCCTTTTCTCTCTAAAAGCAATGAAAAAGTGTCCTCAAGTGAGAATAAAAAAAATAACTGAGAACTGGCAAATGTAGAATAATCAGCACAGTTTACAAACAACACATAGATTGCTCTTCTATCCATAAAAGAAGCCATTTTCTCCTACATAATTGACAAATAATCCCCAAGTAAAAGACTTAATAAAAAGACTACCAGTGGAGATCCCTCGTTCTCAGGATAGAAGAACTTCATCTACTCATTTTATTTTACTTTTCCCCTTTAGAATAAAGCCTCAGAAATGAAGTGTTGAGAGAAAAAAATCTCTAATTGCTAATTCTATGTTATAAGCACCAGCACATCTTGCTTGTTGGGCAGGTGCCATACAAAGGCTGCTGTGTTTGAGAGCATGGCAATTGCAGATAGGAGCGAAGTAGCAAGAGAATAACTGAAATAAATAATTATTACTAAATGTTCACTGTGATGTGTGTGACTTCTGCATACGATGCCCATAAAGTGATAGTCACATGATTAAACCTTACACATATTTTTTCCAAATTTACACCCTAAGGGGCAAATAAACAGCACAGTTCTGAATAACATTATTGTAGCTATTAGTCTTTGTGTGCATAATTCCCCTATCCATGATGTTTACAATTTTCTCTACAGCGTTGCTTTGAAAAGTGGTGCAATTACAATATTTTCATTATACTATGACTTTCACAGATAATTAAACAAATAAATATGTTCTTACACAATTCACTTTAAATATTCCCAGTCTTTATAAAACTTCCTCATTTGGGAAGAATAAAGACATTCAGAATACATGTGACTTTTTTTTCTTAAAAAAATTTGTTTTCCTTGTCCAGTGCTGTTTATTAAGTCCATCATCAGAGGCAAGAACAGACTTTCATCCATCACAAAAGGCAGACTGAGCCCAGCCACGGGCTTGGGAGTGCTCACAGTCCTGCAGAGGACAGGCAGCTGAGCCAGTCCTTCACATTTGTGCTTATTTTCTTTTACAAAGACATCATCTGGAAGGTTAATAGGACTCATCAACTCAACACATAACCTTAATAATTATCTTTGCAATCAGAAATGAAGCTAGTACAGCCCTGGCTGGGTGGCTCATTTGGTTGGAGTATCGCCCTGTGCACCAAAAGGTTGCTGGTCAGGGCATATACCTACGTCACATACCCAGGCATCCCCAGCCGGGAGCATATGAAAAGCAACCAACTGATGTTTTTTCTTTCTCTCTCTCTTCCTCTCTCTCTCTAAAAGCAATAAACATATTGTTGGGTGAAGATTAAAAATAAAAGAAAGAAAAAATGAAACTAGTACAAAATAATACCAACCTTAGAGTTTTTACATGAGAATGGTTAGAACAGTGTATTTTCATGAGATTTGGAGAGATTAAGGATATATTTCTCATAACTTGACATTATTATTGAGGCAGTAGTTGATTTAATTTTAAGTGTGCGGTATACTTACTAAAATGAGTTAAAATGTCCAAAATTTGGGTTTTTAACTTCTACCATTTTGGGAGGTGTCATATCAAGTAAAAACTGGTATTTAGCTACTCTAAGGAATCCCACCCCCATAAAACCCTATATGTTATTTTCAAATTAATAGAACTGTAAAGTTATCTGGAAAAAATAGGTTTATTTTGCTAATAATAAAATAAGTCTCGAATAGAAAATGACTTTCCAGGGTCTCATAGCTGGTTTTTGCCAGAGACAGAACTACAACGCCAGTTTCCTTAACACCACCCCAGTGCTGTTGCCCCTAATCAGCTGCCTCTTCCAAGGACCTTTATACTTTCTCTTTCAATAAACATTTTTGAGCCTCTACTTTATGCCAAGAACTACTTGATGTGCAGGGTACAGGCAGAGAGAGAAGACCCGGTCCCAGCTCTTTTAGAAGGTAACAATTCAGTGAGGGAAACAGTTAGGTAGATGAGTAATTCTAATTTATTATGCATTGTAATACATGTTTCTAGAACACAGAGGAAGGAGTGTTTAACTCTCTTTTAACTCTCCCTGGCTTGGGGGATTGATTTGTTGTCTTCAACTAATATGAGCACTTGGGTTTTGAACAAAAGTCCCTGTCCCTAGCAGACACCGTCCTGGATTCTTCCACACCACTTTTGTGTTTTCCTGCCACGCCCACCGGTCTTGTTTTCTGTCCGATTGCCCGACTTGGAGTGTCTGCATACCTGACACTATTTCTGATTTTAAATTTTCCAAACCATCTGCAGCTCCCCAAGTAGAAGCTGCTCTTCCGAAAAAGAGAGAACAATACTCACACAGTGCTGCCTCTCCATTTGCTTTCCCCCAACTGCCTTGTTCTTTTCATTTCCCCTTTTCTCCCAACCTCTAACGTCACCAGTCCCCAAACTGGAGAATGGACGTTCCATGACACCACCTGAGTGCTGCACCCTAGCTGATGTACTGTGAATGACTGATGACACTCATGAGTGGGGCAGATCCCTGGGGGTGTCCCAGGGGTCATGTACCCCAAACACACAAGGCATAGTTTTTTTTGTGCCACTTCATAGGAAAGCCCATAGGAAGAAAAGGAATTAGAGTGTTTTAAAATATAGGGACTAGTCAAAGAACATGTATGAATGACCCATGGACATGAACAACAGGGTGGGGATTGACTGTGGAAGTGAGGAAGGAGTGGGCAGGGCAGAGGAGGGTGAAGGGGGAAAAATCAGGGCAGCTGGAATAGAATAACAATACAATATTTAAAAATTAAAAAATAAAATACATAAATACCTCATAACTGTTTACATAAGTCTATGGAACCACTATGAGACAAACCACTGTGCTGAAGTCGGCTTCCTTAGTAATAATCAGCTAGCGTGATCCAGTCCTGGCTCCTGAAGTCCTCCTCTTCAGTAGGGTATTTTTATTTCCCCTTTCAGGAATATCTCACCTGTCCAATAAGAGATTCAAAAATTATTTCATTTCTTCTCTCTGTCCTTTATAATTTTGTTGTCCTAGATCTGATCTTTGGTGACCAAATTATCTTCCCAGTTTTTCCAAAAAAATCTCCACATCCTTATTCATTAGGGATCACAAGGTGGGCATAGGGAGTAAGGTGGCCATAGCGTTCTGGCTACAGAAAAAAAAAATTTTACAATTTGGGCAATATCTGGCCAGAGCATTAGACTAGTGCAACCACAACTGGCAGATGTTATTTTGGGGCAAGTATTCTATTAACCCCATAGCCTCTTACCAGTTGGTACCGAGTCCAAATAAAGCTTGAATTGCCAACTTGTACCAACTGAGAGCTTTCTAAATAACTCCTAGTATGTGATTAGCATTTGTTCTAGAAATTGACGCTGATGCCTCTGGGAGACTTTAAAGTACTACTTTCAATTAATTATAGTTATGCATACTTTTATGTAGTGGTATTTACTGGTAGCCACGGAAAATCTTCATATGAATTTCTGTGTTATTTATTACATGTATAGTAAATAGGTGTGTGCATGTGGAGAGAAAAGGTGGCATTTTTTAATTAATTCAAGCATTGTATGTAATTATAAAAGGGTGTGGAATATATACTTTGAAAGACTTACTATAAATAAGGTCAATACTAATTTTAAGTTTAAGAGAGAATGTTATACATCTGACATAATAGACACTGGGGCTTACCTGAAAAAAGTTCCTGTGTCTTAACTGTGGCAGCTACTCGTGATAGAATTCTAAAATCTGGAAGGCAAATTCAGTGCTCTTCTCGCTGAGGACTGGATGTAAATCTGTGCTGACTAGGTGATCCATGGCTTATATCTGCAAGCCCTTTTCCGTAGAGGATGACTATCTTAGAAGATGTCCCGTCTGTGCCCTGGTTTCATTAATACCACCTATAATCTCGGCCCATATGCTGCTACTCACACAGCCCTATTTGCTTGCTCAGGAGAGAAAGCAGCAGCTCTTTTGGATGTGCATCAACTCCCTATGAAGATAATAGGATTTACATGTGTATACAGAGGGATGAATCAGCCTTTTATTTAACTATCACCTTAAGCATTCTCTCATTTTCCCTGAAATAAAATTCTCCGGTCATTCCCCTCCACTTCTAAAGCTTTGCACTGTAGGCTTATCTGTGTTTTGTTTTTTTTTTTTTTTTTTTGACTGAGGTCCCCTCTGGGCTTAAATAGAAAATCAATATTTGATGACAGATACTTTGTGTCCATTTAATATGTGAATTATCTTCCTGTTTGCCTTTTTAATAGATGAATTATACCATCTAGAGCATCTTCACTTCTAGTCTCACCCACCAATATTCTCCTGTCTTCCTGACAGTAGAAATACTTTGTGAAGTTGTATTTATCATGTTTTTGTGTGTTTTAAGGTCTTCTTCTGCCATTAGTTAGCATTTTAGTTGTTGTACTCTACCTAAAAGTTTTTTAAAATTTAAAAACAATTCAAAACTCCTTTTCCCTTTGTTTTTCTTTCACAAGCAGTTTTTACTATACATATTAGAAAAATTAAATGTAATTGCAAGTCCATAATCTTTTCTTTTGACATCTGTGCCTCCTTAATTTTAAATTTTTGTCTTAAGGCAGGACAGGATGGAATAGATGCTTGATTTTTTTTAAATGACTAATTCATAAGTTATCCTTAAGCGGCCTCATGCGGGAGGAAGAACACTGGTGTCAGGAGACTTTCTGTCAAATCGTGGTTGCTGCTAACAAGCTTATGTCTTTGGGCAAGTTGCTTGCACTCTGAGTTTGTCTCCCTTTTGGAGTGAATTGGATTTTGGTTCTTTCTGCTTTTTAATTCTATGTGAGAAAAAAATCTCTTTGGTTTCGCTCTAATGTATCAATTGAGGATAAGACAGGGAGAGAATAGGGAAAGGATTTTCTTGGATACAATATTAAATTGCAAGGCATGTGAATGCTTTGATCAAGATGCGGCTTCCCTGAGGGTTGTGTTTGGGTTTGAGAGATAAAATAAGCCTCCATGAGCTCTAGTTCTTTTCTCTTTCACTTCATTCTCTGTGTTTCCAAGATGAATGAAATCCATTATATCATTAGAGAAGGTCAGGGAATAAAAGATTAGCAAAAGTCCTTTGCTGCATACTGGGAATCAGGGTAACTAAATAATGGTGTATTTCTTCCGTTAAAATTGCCTCCATAACCTTCGCCAGAAATAGCATTTGAGACTAGAAGGGAATTAATGTTCAGTAATTTTTGGATCTTTATTTAAATGTGACTTTCAAATATCTTTCCCGAGGGGAACACTTAAAAAGATCCATCAAAGCAATAGGGCTAATAATCTGCCATGGGACCTGGACAATAGGTTAAGAGACTCACCTCTCATTAGTTAGGTGAAGGATTCACAAAATGTTAGGAAGTGTATCTGAGCCCAGCGCTCACTTTCAGGGGGGATCGACCCAGGAGGGAAATGATACTGGAATGATCAAGCATCTCACCAAAAAGAGGAGGAGCAAAAAAAATTAAATATGTGCTTAAAAATTATTTTATGTAATATGTAATTTAATACATGTGTTATATATATTTTAATATATTTAATGTGTATTTAATATAATGTATATATGTGTATAAGGATATAAATTTATAGACATGTATAATTATTTATATGCAAATATAATATATTTAAAAATTTAATACATGTATCATAAATTTGAAGACAGTGGAAAAAGTGTTTTCTGTTGAAATGGTTAAAAGTGTATTTACAATGAAATTGTTTGGGCATTCATTAAAGACCAAAGAATGTCTGAGTGACAGGTGCACTGGCCTGCAGTGCCCGAGGCATCATGGATGAGACATGACACAAATTCACATAGACTACTGAGTCCTGCGGAGGACAAGGAGTGGCGCAGCTACTCCCTCAAGGTGGGGAGCGCCTCAGAACGGCCTGGCAACTCTCTCAAGGGGAGAGCACATTGACCCTTGCCTAGACAGGCTTTTATTGGGTTTAATTTGCTCAGGAATACAGGTACAGCTCATTAATCACTGTCAGGCAGTAAGGATCAAACGGTAGATAGCATACAAAGAACTATTAGGGCTTCTTCTAAGTCAGGGTCTATCAGCTAAAAGGCTACAGAACTTTTGGAAAACAAACTCATTTTCTGCTTGGGCCTTTATCATTTAACTAAGAGCATTCTTAGCAAAGTAGGTTTCACAGGATTTTACATGTCTTTACTGAGGCCTGATCACCCTGGGGAGCCCGCTCTTTCCAGCACAGGGCTGCACCGCCCTCTGTCATTGTTTCAGGCTTAAATCAGGCAGAGAAGGCAGATAGCCAAGGAATTTTCAGAGACTTCTCTTGGACTCAGGGAAGTCAGGCTTCATCAAAGCTGAGGGGCGACGGTCCACCACCCCTTTTCTCCATAGCCCCCCAAGTCCTTCCCTGGGGCCGCCACGTGATCATGCCTGTTTTAGGTCGTTTCCCCCCTTGGGGAATCTTTCCCGTCATTGGCTAACTGATCAAGCATTGGAGGTCTGTTATGAAAAAAGGAGCAGAGGCGGTGCTCCTGCCATGGAGATAAGCTTTGTCTCCTTAGTGGCTTATGGTCTGAAGGTCGCTCACTCAGCCTTAGACATGGCTGGGGGTTAGGGCTCCTGAAACCAGCAGGGTGGCTCCCAACATCTGGGTGTGTGTGTCTTGAAAGTGAAAATCCAAGTGAGGATTAGGGATCAGTTTCTGAGGGAACACTCAGTCCTAGCAGCTGCTCTGGATTTCTGTTTGCAAGCCCCCTGCTGCCACTTCACCTTTTGTCTACAGCACCCATGAGTCACCAGTAAAGTCTTTTGTAATTACTTTGCCTGGGTGGTCCCTGAAGAACATCAGGAGGTGCTTGGGAGGCATTGAGCTCATGGCATCTGTTGACTGATCAGTCCCCGGGCGCGCAGGTTTGAAAGGCGAGAACAGGTGGTACAATGGGGAGAGAAGAGAAGAACAGCAGGGCACTTATTCTCTGGTGCTGAGGAAGTCAGGCTGTATCTATTCAGGATGAAAATGATTTACCAGAGACATAATCATTTCCATCAGTGAGCTGCAAAACTTGATTTATCCACTGTAACCAAACTGTTTTGTTTGTTTTTGGCTATGTCATTACTGACAGATATGTGGAAGAATACATTCTGACTTGGCAGAAACTACCACTCATAGAGACTGAAAAATACATAGAATAAAGTTAAGGGCCTAATTCAGCAACATTATTTTGAGAGATATTTATACATAAGTCAGTAAAACACTGGGCACTAAGAGATGTTGTGAAGCAGAGGTTAAATGAAATAAGACATAGAACGATCTAAACTGCATCTCTGTTCCATCCTAAGGTTTGTGCTGCTTTGCTCAGAGCCTCCACTCTCCTTTCCAAAATGCCCAGTCACTGCGTCCTCTGCGGTTATGTAGACTTTTGAAGTGCACGATGGACCTTCGTCTCAGCACGAAAGAGTGAAGGAATCCATTAAGGTCAGTTCTGTGTTTTAATATTCCTCATGCTCTGTGGAAAGATCAGATCAGTGTGGAACTGAAAGATAAGAGTAACACAAGTGACACCAATAACCACAACAAATGACCTCAATTATCTGTCGAGGCAGTGTGGCCATAATGATGGAGGTGTCTCTGAGTGAAAAGTCGGAGTGTCTGCAGACGTGGTTTCCTAAGTCAATTTAAACTGGCTTGTGTTCATACAAAATCAATTCACACTTCTCCCAAAGAACCAACCTTTGCGGTAGTCTGTGATCTTAATTAGCCATCACAGGCCTCCTTCTACCCCTTGGTGAATGCATCAAAAATAGGATTGTACTAACTTTAAGGATTTTAAAGACAGCTGGAGAACACTTCATTTCTTTTATACTCAGACTTCTGCCTATTGGTAAGCCTGGGCCAAGGAAGAGATGGCATTGAAAATACATAAGACGTTCATAACATTGCTTGTAGAAGATAAGAGATCTTACCCTTGACCTTGTAAAACCCTGAGAATCTCTTATGTGTCAGGCCAATACTAGAGACCGGAAATCCAAGGTGAACAATTTTTATATCAGTAAATATGTCTTTATATAAAAGACCAAACTGTTGAATTTTCCCTGAGCCCTGTGCTCTGATAAACAATGAAGTTAGAAGGAACATCCTCACCCATATGTGTTCTGGAAAAAAGAGAAAAAAACACTGCAAAGACCCGGATGTCCCCATAGGACTTGTACACTCAGGTAAGGTCTGGGACGCCTCCTTTGCTTCTCTATGACAGGATGCACGCAGACTCTCCAACTTCCCTTTTGTTGTCTCATAAATAATTAGCTGAACTGCTTGTCCCCACTAATTAATTAGCAGAAAGTGCTTGTTAACCAAATTTTGGTACAGTTCAATCCTTCCCCCAGGTCCTTGAACTCTGGCCTGCCCTCAACCTGATACTGCATCAAACCCTGCTTTTGGGCTGCTCCTGAAAAACTGGAAAATAGGTTGATCTCAGGGTAAAACTTTTTCTCTGATTTATTATTAGATCTTACCACCTCTTGACATAAAAATCATCTACATCTGTGGAAAAATTTTATAAGACTTTATCTGAGCTTAACTGACCACATATGCCAGGAGGCAAGACCTCAAATGTTCCTGCGAACAACAGTGTTGCAGTTAATATGTTATGCAGCTGAAATCAAGGAGAGAATGTAAGAAGAATTACGGGGAGGCAGAGGAAAGCAAAACAAGCGTTGGATTGCAGGATAGTTAACAAGATTAAGTGCTCTCGAGAGTAGTTACAATATTTCACAGGTTTGTTACCCTGGGTGGGTAGAAACA